AATGAACCGTTAGAGCCTGGATCAAAGTACAGGGTTCATGTAAGAATCGTTACCACGACAGTGGATGGGGTGAGTTTGCGGTGATATTCAAAATTTATGGGTAATGGTTAGGTCAGATTAGCTTTTCAATAACTTATCTAAAAAACAAATTCCATTGAATTTACAGTATGATATGACTTAGAAAAGGCTAACACTGTAACTATGTAAGAATGATTATTATATTGTTCACTGTGCTCCACCTTTGGAACTGCTACCTTCATTACTGCACCCCGTCGCAACAATAACCGATACATTGGTCTTTGTTATTCCCAATCTTCTTTTTTCCCCCTGTACTTTTGCGCCACCCATCTTCATACCTCAATCTCTCCATTTTCCTATTGGTTTCGCCAATGCCTACTCCTTTAATTCTCCATTCCCTTTTGACTCTTTCCATCTCTTCTCTTTTTTGAGGGGGGAGGAGGAGGGGAAAAAGGGAGCGGGGTTTATAAAATCTGACTTCCATTTGCCTTTTTTATCTCTTTCAGAAACGAATTTTCGGAGACTCGAGTTTTGTGGCTTTCACGACAAAAACCCTCAACAATGATGAAGGTGCATACAAATAGTGTTTACTGTTATTGTCCAAATTACACACTTAGCCAGAGCAATTAATAAATGCCTTTTTCAAACTAAAATAATAAAAAAAAATATCCTAAAAAGACTAGCTGCGTTGGGTTTTCCGACGATTTATTGAATACGATTTTTTAAAAAATTTGATTGGGAAGAGCGTTAACGTTGTATAGGTCTTATTACCAGTTATTCTTACCTTTTTTTCTCTCTCTCTCTCGATAGCAATGCCTCTCAAGCGTGTGAGTGATGAAAGTCTTATAGGGATCGTGATTGGTCTATCAGTCTTCATATTTGTACTCCTTGCAATCTTTCTCCATCATTGTTGGTCTAAGCTAAAGTACAAACCAAACAAGAAAGACCTTGGAACTGAAATGGAAGACCTAAAGAATGGATATAATTTATTGAATGACAATTAAGACCTGGATTACCGTCTCAGCGCAAAGCCTTGTTAGACTGTATTTAAGTGTTAATATTATATAGGCGACCTAGAGTCCTATTGTATTATCACCTGCCCTTGGGTGAATCATAAATAAATTTATATCACTCTCACTCTGTAATGCCAACTCGAGTTTTTTTTCTTCGCCAACATTACTCGGATTGGCTAACATGGATACTTAGCTGAAATATGGTATAATAAATAATAAAATGTAATAAATAAAACAAGACTAAGCTTTTATCGCTACTTGCGGTGACCATTTTATCAAGACGGCGCGCGGCCGTTACAAAACTTCGATTGGAGAAGATATTTTACAACCCAATCCAAAGAAATATCAAAGGGTGTTACTAAAACGAGTAACGGAGTAATGAGTAACGAGTAATAGAGTAATGGTCAAACGAGTAAGAGCCAAGTTTTTCTACATAGAAATTTACAAAAGCGAGTAATGAATAAACTAAAAAACGAGTAATGATCAATCTTCCCTGCGAGTAAAATTCATATAAACAAATCATCAATATCACATTTTGTTCGCTTGTTAATTTCACCATGATCGCTTTGGTTGGAAATGTCTCGGGAAAAGGCTGCACGTGTTCTTGTCTGTGTCGTCTTGTTGTGCGCCAAAATGGAGGAAGGTTAGTGTCCTGTAATTCCAAGAGTGAACACACGTATATTTATCATCAATCCTTTATTTATGGCTTTTATGTTTTCTTAGGAATAATTGTCATAAGCGGCGATGAAGTGGAAGTGGAGGATAATCGTAAGTTAAAGCTTTTTTTCACTCAATTTATCGTCAGGCCCTTAATCGTCCGCCTCGTGAACTCAAAGAGTTCCTATGTAAAGATCCCAAAAATTCATAAATGTACAAGTGCGGCAAATCTATTGTTACATATTYTTAACTTTATGTGGACGAAAGAGGAGTGTATTGTCGCAACTTCGGTTTAAATTTTACGACTTTTTTCCCCTCAGAACTTGCTCGCCCTTGTGGCTTAATCCATGCCCAATAAATAAGACGGGTTTTCTAATAGTACTATCTGCCTTCTGTTACAAATAAAAGCAACTTCCAATGCAGCAACTTCCAATGGGTAACAGTCTCTTTCTCTCGTAATAACAGTAACTTTTTCCACGATAATTAGCCGCTATTTGAAAAATTTCTGTGGCAAAATTTGGCTATTGCTCATTTTTCCATTACACTATTACTCGTTACTCATTACTCCGCTACTCGTTTTAGTAACACCGAAAATTTAATACTAACCATTGCTTTATAACATGTGCTTCGTCCACTGCGATGCCACACAATTTATAATTGTAAATGCTGCTACTCAATAACTTTCTCCACCGTTCGCACTTTAACCAAGCTTCTGGAGTCCCATACACAATTGAGAATCTCCCCTCTTCAATGTCCTTAATCTCTTATATCACTCACGCTTACTGCAGATATTCCAAGCCGATGAAGGCTACTCACTTGATCATTCATTAGACTGATCAGTTATGAAACAACCACGACTTGACCAGAAGTATCAGTGTACATGCTATCGAAAAGCAATGGCAGAGCAAGATATATCATCGATTTTCCACTTCCAGTCGGAAGATTTACGAAAATGTCCCTTCTTTTTAGCACGAATTGGACCAAGGCTTCGCGTTGATAAGTATCTAAATATGTTAAATTATGTTTGTTGCAAACTATTTGCAATGCTTCGTCGAACGACGCAATTTTGTTTACCAAACTCACGCGAAATTTTAGCCAATCAGGATCCAGCTCCCGGATTATAGTAGGTTAACTGTGATATGATTGGCCAGAGAATGGGAATGGAATGTAGTGCTCGATTGAGCAGACGTTAGTGGGGAGGGAAACGTTTACCGGACCGACACTAAGAGCGACTGCYGAGGAGACTACTTTAAATGGCGTGTTTGTTTTTTCTCCTTGCCTTTCCACACTACGGTGGTAGATTCCGTGGTAAATGAAATAAAAAAACGGACAAGCGACTTTTTCGATTTAGTAAAGAAATGATACTCTAGGGAATGACAAGTGGTATAAAATAAAGAAACTTTACGTCTAAGGAAAATCGCTGTAGACCAGCCGTTTATACCTGGAAAAAACTTGTTCGCACATATAAGCAGCAAAATAATAATAATATTAATAATAATAAT